TGGTAATCGTTTTCCTTCGACTTTTTTGTAATATTTTTAATTAAGGAGCTCAAAAAGGTACTATATATATTTTTGTGAGTGAAAAAAAGTTTTTTATTGTGTGTGTCAATTTCCGATCATACTGTCAAATTAGTACTTAGCTGGAGAGCACTAGCAAAATAGATTAGTCCCGAACAATCTGCAACAGAAAGAAGAGATTCCGGCGGTGGTTCATCCACCTGGGGGCACTCCGATGATCAAGTCAGTTATTTCTCAAAGATAGCAAAAGAGCTTAACTCACTATTCAGAATATAAATTGCGTACCTTAGACTCATAAGGGTGCCTTTCTTTTATAGCCAATACAAACCTAGTCCCAATAGAAGCCTAGCTTCAATGAACTTAGGATTACTGTTAATCTTAGACTCTCAGTAGGATTGAGATAAACTCTCTAACAGTCTTATCCTTACCCAAACTGAAATCCTCTCTCATTCTAGGACTCTTGTCCCTTATCCCTTTATCCCTGATTCCGGTATCTTCACAGATAACCTCGGCCTAGCCGAGATGATCTTGGCGTCATGACCAGGACACGTGGCACCTCGGTTGGCACTTCGGTGACACCTCGGCCACGTGTTATCATTCAAAAATTATGTCCCCACAACTGCCCCCTAGGTTCTATTACCTCGACATCCTGAGGTGATGGAACCTATATCATTCATTCCTTTAATCATGACCCCGATTTAACTTCAATTTGTAAATTTTTCTTAAAATTTCAACAAGTGTTAAACATGACATCGGTTTAATTTCAACTTGTAAATTTTTAAAATTTCAATAAGTGTTAAACATGTCTTCGGTTTAGTTTCAACTTGTAAATTTTTAAAATTTTAACAAGTGTTAAACATGACCTCGGTTTAACTTCAACTTGTAAATTTTTAAAATTTCAACAAGTGTTAAACATGTTCTCGGTTTAACTTCAACTTGTAAATTTTTAAAATTTCAACAAGTGTTAAACATGACCTCGGTTTAACTTCAACTTATAAATTTTTAAAATTTCAACAAGTGTTAAACCAAACTTAGCTTGTAAATTCCAACTCCCGAGCATCATTCTCCAGCCCTCTTTGATTCTCCATGCTCGACCTCCCGTGAAGGCTGGTGAGAATGCCCTTTTGCCCTATCGTGCTGAGGGACTACAAGAATTGTTTTCTACCCCCCTTTCTGGGCGTCTTTCTTGGCCGCTGGAATCGGCGTATCTTGTAGCGGGAACGGTGCCTGCATGAGGTTGTTCTACATCATGAAATTGACGACCGTTTGCAGGTCCGCCAATTTGTCCGCCATTCCTTTCATCTCGTCGTCCCTCCGCAGGCATCTATCTTTCCATATCTGGAGGTTGTCCTCGTTATAATACTCGCTCCAGTTCGATTTCTTCGGTACGCCGCCTCCTTGGTCGACATCCTTTCCTCAGTGATTCTTATCATGAGTGTCTTCGTTGCAGTTGTCTTCTTCGATGTCAAGGTCAATATGTTTCCCATTCTCAGTAGGGGTGTCGTCCCCAACCTTTTCTTTCTATCCGTCGTTGGTCATCTATTCTCCTTTCTTTCCCACAGACAGCGTCAAATTGTGTGTGTCAATTTTCGACCACACTGCCAAATTAGTACTTAGCTGGAGAGTACTGGCAGAATAGATTAGTTCCGAACAACCTGCAACAAGAAGAAGAGATTTCGGCGGTGGTTCGTCCACCCGGGGGCACTCCGATGATCAAGTCAGTTATCTCTCAAAGATAGCAAAAAAACTTAACTCACTATTCAAAATATAAATTACGTACCTTAGACCCATGAGGGTGCCTCTTTTTTATATCTAACACAAACCTAGTTCCAATAGAAGCTTAGTTTCAATAGACTTAGGATTACTGTTAATCTTGAACTCCCAGAAGGATTGGGATAAACTCTCTAAGAGTCTTATCCTTACCCAAATTGAAGTCCTCTCTCATTCTAGGCCTCTTGTCCCTTATCCACTTATCCCGAATTTCGGTATCTTTGCAGATAACCTCGGCTTAGCCGGGATGATCTCGGTGTCATGATCAGGACACGTAGCACCTTGGCTGGCACTTCGGTGACACCTCGGCCACGTATTGTCATTCAAAAATTATATCCCCACATCAACTAAAAATTGTCATTTTCACATCTAATCCAAACAGTGATTAGTCCCCCCAAAACAATCCCCCCCCCCAGGATAGGATAGTCCCCCATATGGGGGACATGGAGTCCGGCCGGACATGGAGTCCGCCGGACTAAAAAAAAATCAAACGACGGATAAGGAACACTATTTGGATTGTAATCCAAATAGTGGATAGTCCCCCCCAATCCCCCCAATCAAACACGCCCTAAGAATCTTATCCTTACCCAAACTGAAGTCCTCTCTCATTCGAGGCCTCTTGTCCCTTATCCACTTATCCCGGATTTCGGTATCTTTGCTGATAACCTCGGCCTAGCCGGGATGATCTCGGCGTCATGATCAGGACACGTAGCATCTCGGCTGGCACTTCGGTGACACCTCGGCCACGTATTGTCATTTAAAAATTATGTTCCCACATTAACTATTTTAGTGTGGGTAAAAAAGTTTGGTTTACAATATTAGTTGGCTTTGTTTGTTTGTTTTTTTTATTTTTTTCCCCTTATAATTGATTTGATGATTGTGAAAAAAAAAATTATAATTTAAATATAACATTTATCTTATTAACTATTTTAATATATTTTATTTTTATTAATTATTTTAATCAAAACATCTTTCCAAACACTCCCAATAAAACATTAGACTTTTTGGTAGATGACAAATGGTTGTAACACTATTTATAGCAAAACTGACTTTTTCTAATAGATTGCCAAACGCCCCCACTTACTTTTATACCATGTCAAATTTTGATTGGTAGTCCAAGTTACATAAATCTAACACTTCAAATTTTGTATTTTTTTTCAAAATAAAATGATTATATATTTTTTTTTGTTACCAATTAATAAACCAAATGAATGATACGAGGGTCAAGTATATTTGGCAAGCAACGGTGCCAGGGACCCTGCACCCCCAGTAGGCCAAAAAAATTTTTTTATTTTTTTTTCTTGCAATCACGCGGTGCCACATGGCACCGGAGGGGGTGTGGACGTGTCTTAAGCTTTATTCATTCAACAATGATTTAGACCACTAAAAAATAGAAAAATGTTATAGACTCCAAACAAATTATCAAACCTCTCACATGGGTATGAGACCTACACATGTGATTTGTGTGGGTCCCACACCCATGTGATTTGTGTGGGTCCCACACCCATGTGAGAGGTTTGGTAATTTGTTTGGAATCCCTAGCGTAACTCCTAAAAAATATATTACTAATAGCACTAATATATTGAGAATGACAAAAAAAATAATAAAAAAATAAAAACAAGACATAAAAAGTGAGCGAAATCCACTGTCACATCATTAATATTCTCTCTAATGACCCTCTTTTAGTGCTCCAAAATATTTTTTTTATTCAGTGGCAAGCAGTTAGAACAAGTCATTAATGATTTAACACCAAAAAAAAAAAAGGGGACAAGTCATTAGGTGTGAACCAAAACAGTGGGTCCAAACAGTTTGAACTCAAAAAACGCATCTGCGAGCGCTGCATGAAGGCCACGTGGCCCCGGCTTTGGTACGCGTCCACACGTGGGAGGTGACAGATTAACGCGCTTCTATCAGATTTCATTTATTTTTTAATTTAAAAGAAAAATGGACGGCCCACGATGAAGATCAAAAACCATTATTAAAAAATCTCGAGCTTTAGATTTTCAAAATCCATGCAATAGATACTAATCTCATCTCATTTCGGACATCCCACGTACAATCTCCAAACACCCCCCCTTTTGTTTTTGTCACCCCCAACCCAATACGCGCCTTTACACAAATGAAAAATGCAATATATATAATAAAATTTGTTATAGTATTTTTTTAAAAATTTTTTTAGATATAAGTGATTAAATTTTATATACATTTATTAATGTGGATAAAAATTTAAGAGTCAAAAAATACGATAAAAAACAAGATTATATATAACGTTATTCTTAAATTATAAGTTGGCAATCTATATGTTATGTTAAAATTTATCTCACATGATATCCTATTAGGACTATAAAATGGTTGAGTCGGGCTAAATATTATTGAAACTTAATCTGATAAAATACTTTTAAATTAAATTTATTTACATAACAAAAAAATTGTCTAATTGAATGCGAGTTACAATTAAATAATTTGATTTTTTTACAATCTTACGTCTTGCGTGTAAAAAAGATATATTTGAGAATCGCTTGTATAGATATAAAACAGAACATAACACATAATCATAAAGATAATGGGATGACAAAATTTAAATCATGTATCTCACTCTAATTCCATTCCCCAACAGAAATTATTCCAAAAATTTGAGAAATAAATCCAACAATATAAATTAAATTATCATAAATATATATATGTATATGTATATATCTAATATTGTGTATAGATATAAAACATAACATAATACATAATAATAAAGATAACGGGATGACAAAATTTAAATCATGCATCTCACTCTAATTCCAGGCTTGAACATGAATTATTCCAAAAATTTGTGCAATTAAGAAATAAATCCAACAATATATATATCAAATTGATTAATGATTTATCCATCAAATTTATTTAATCCGAATTCGCCTAAATGAGTCTCTTATCGGAAAAATACTCATTTGGATGAATTTAGACTAAACAAATTCAGTGAATATATCAAATTATCATAAATAAATAAATATATATAATAGATAAATGTAATTATATGTAGCTTGTAAAACAAGTTAATACAACTGGTTACAGAGAATAAAGCCCCACCATCAACACCTTCACACCGTAATCGTAAGCGTGACGACATAAAAACGCAACGGGAACAAATGTGGACGTTAAAAAAAAAAAAAAGCATTATAAAAAAAGAATTTATACACAATAAATACATATATAGAGAGAGAGAAGATTTTAGAGAGAGAAAAAAAAGGGGGTGTGTGTGCGTTTCCGCGTAGAGAGATGAGATCAATGAGACTAACAGGACTGTTCAGCAGAAGAAAAGAATGAGAAAGAGAGAGAGGGAGAGTTTCTCTTTGCTTTCATTTTCTGAAATCTGAAACGAAAACCATACTAAAAAGAAACCATTTCTTTCTTTTCTTTTTCTTATCTTTATTTCAATCAAAGATCGATTCACACCTTACTTTCACACCAACCCTCGATATAAATCTTTCATCTTCTCTCTCTACCCATCTTTTTCCTTTCCATTGATCTCTAACTTTTTTCTGTTGGGGTTTTTTTTTTTTTTCCAATTCAAATTCTCTCTATATATCTATCTGTCTTTGAACTCTTCAATGGAGGGTAGTTATCATCATCATCAACAACAACATCCTCAACATCCTCATCAAATCAGTGTGAACATCGACACAGGTGATAGGTTCCCTCAATGGAGTATTCAGGAGACAAGGGACTTTTTGACGATTCGAGCCGAGCTCGATCCAACGTTCATGGAGACCAAGCGAAACAAGCTTCTCTGGGAGGTGATCGCAACGAAAATGAAGGAGAAGGGTTACAATCGTAGCGCCGAGCAGTGCAAATGCAAATGGAAAAACCTCGTCACTCGATATAAGGTATATCTAACTTTCTTGACTTACTGATATATCTGTCGATATGATAAACCCCCTCTATCCTCTATCTATGTAAAAAGAAAAGAAAAAAACTTTTTGTATAATCCGGCACGAGTTTTTATTTTTTAAAACAACGTTCGACTTGCATGTGTTAAAGCATATATATAGCGAGCGTACTTCTTGAACCAGGATCGAACTTTTTTTTTTGGTACGAAAAAAAGACAAGAGAATTGTCTAATAAACGATTATGTCTTTAATTTATGTATTCTGATATGGTTGTTTAATAAGAGGGGAGTTCTCTGACCTAGTACTTTTTGATGAGGAAACTGAAGAGTTTTTTTGTCTATCCTGTTCTAGTCCTTTTGAAGGAAAGGGAAGCTACGTAACATACCTTTTTTTAACCTATATATATATATATATATATGTTATATGTGTATATGAAATTAAGATAATCATCAAGAAGAGTTTCTGATTAAGGGTTTTATTTCATTTTTTTTATATAATTTTTTTCTTGTATTTAGGGATGTGAAACTATGGAGCCAGAAGGTATGAGGCAGCAGTTTCCATTTTACAACGAGTTGCAGACGATTTTCGCAGCAAGGATGCAGCGAATGCTATGGATCGAGGCAGAGGGAGGAGGAGGAGGAGCAAGCGGGTCGAAGAAGAAAGGGGTATCGTCAGACGATGATGATGACAACGAGGAGAGTGAAGGAGAGAAGGGTGGAAGCAAGAAGAAGAGAAAGGTAGCCAAGGGTGGCCCAACCAACAACCCTAGTAGTAGTGGGAATATCAATGGTTTGAAGGAGGTTATGGAGGAATTCATGAAACAACAGATGCAAATGGAGATGCAATGGATAAAACTGTATGAAGCAAGAGAGGAGGAGAGGAGGATGAAGGAGATGGAGTGGAGGCAAACCATGGAGTCATTGGAAAATGAGAGGTTGATCATGGATAGGAGGATGAGAGAGAGAGAGGAACAAAGGAGGGTGAGAGAGGAAGCTAGGGCTGAGAAGAGGGATGCTCTTATAACTACACTTCTAAACAAGTATAGAAGAGAAGACATGTAGTCACTACTCAAAACTTAGCTAGCAAGCTCTCTTTGTTTATTTTCTTGTATTTGATGAGGAGGAAGAGGAAAGCTATGAAAGGTTTGTCTTGGAACAAAACTCTCTCATTTAGAACATGTTTTTGGTTTTATGGTTAGTTATTAGACTTTGAAAGAGTTATAAAATCCTCCATTTCTTCATTTCTTCATTGCTTTTCTTTTTTCATTTTTAATGTTGTTAAGCTCTAATGATCCCTGCTATCATTTAGAATCGTGTTGATTTCAAATGTCTGGAATTAGTCAACCCTAATTTACTAATTTCATATCTGGTTCGTATAATATTTAGTGTGTTATGTTGAAAATTTCATCCACACTGAGAAACAGTGATTTGGAAGATTTTGTCACATAATTCCGGACAATCCACAATACAATTAGAGTAGTGCTACTTTAATCTCAAAGTTAGATTTACTTTTGAAACTCAATATTTAAGGCACCTCTCTCACTTATGTTATTTTTTATCATTAGTCAATTATCTCTTTAACACATCACTAAATCTTAAAAATGGATTTAAAAAATCAGCTGCTATATCTTTTTCCATACAATTAATATTCTAATACAATTATCATAATATCATACAAATGAGATTCCTTTTATGTTTGAACCAATAAGGAAAGTAGGTGTTAATTCATGTTCATGCTCTGAGGGAGACTAGGAGTCTGGTTGAAATAGAGATTTCATGAAGATGGTCTAAATCCTTGTGAAGATAATCATAATATTGGTTTACATATGTAAGAAAAATTATATATGTTTAATGTATAAAAATAAAAAAATAATCAGGCTTAATTAATCATCCAAATCTATATCTAGATAAATATATAGTGTTGAAGTAATGAGCAATGTATTTGGTAAGTAGTAGTGCTGTGCATAAATAAATTTTTTACTTATTTTTTTTTACTACTAGATTTAAAGGTATAGAGACTAGGGATGGAAATGGATAACCTACCCTGTGGGTATCCATGGAGACCCAACCCAAATACATGGGTTTCCCCTCTTTTTCTTATCCATTGGGTAGGGTAGGTGATATTCAAAAAAAATTCAGAAATGTATATAGCAAGTGGCCATTTCTGTAATGCTTAATGGAAGATGGTCCATAAGGTGGTGGGCATGCAACTGAAATAGTAGCTCTGTCCATAATGTGGGGGAAATTACCATTTGAGTTCAGTTTTTCAAAGGTGAGATGATGATTGTATTTTTGAGGTAAAAGACATGGGATTTAAGAAGGGTGTAAAAAAACCGTTGGAACCAATTAATCGGATCAAATTAGATCAGATCAATTTGTTCGGTTCAATTCAGTTAAGGGGTAGAATAATTTGATTCCGCACCTAAAACATAAAGTGTCATTATGAATGGTTCAATTGACGGTTTGAGTCTCTTGTTTCCAGTTCTCAGCTAGTTGAAAGATTACATATATATGTACCTTGAAAAGGGTTCTTAATTGTGGTTTGTGTGTGTGTGTTCTTTTTTTTTCTTTTCTTTTTTTAATTTGTTATTTTATTTTATTGGAATTAGTAACTTTAAATGTATTTTATAGCATATTAATTTGTCGAAATTGATTATTTTCAATGGTATGGTTTCAGTCCCAAAATTATGAAATTGTTGAGATTGGTTGGTTGGATTCCTGATTCACCTATAATAAATTTAAATAAAATTTGATATAAGCTGATAATTTAGGATGTCTTCCATGTTGGATGTAGGTTTCTGTAAATCATGTGGGGAAGATTTATTTTTAATATATTATATTCGAACATATTCATTGCACATTCCTCAGTTCATTTGAACAAGCATTGTTTTGATTATAATGTTGGTTTAGGTACTTGGACGCGGGGTGTTTTGGAATGTTGGTTCAAAAGTTGATTTTTTGGTTATTTTGTCTTTTGTGAATGAAAAATATGAGAGGTGATGTAACTCAAAATAAGTTAAAAGTTAAAAGTTGACTTTTAATTGAGTTGTCAAAACAACCCACTAAACAGTTGGTCAATTCGAAATTAACGAAACTTTTTATATTTTTGTACTTGTGTCTGGTTGTCTTAATTTTATGCATATTTCTTGTGTCTGTCTTGTAATTATAGTGAAATTGTAACAAACATGATATACTTTTTTTGTATGACTGAATGTTTGAGTGAGTTAATGCGCACATCAACTAATCTTGAGATCCACGCAAAACACGCCCTCTATGTAGATCAAGTATATGTCGGGTAGAGCCTGCAAATGTGGCCCTAAGGAGTTGAAGTTGAACTTGAAACATGGAGAAAGCACACTTCTAAGTCCCAAGCTAAACTCACTAGGCCAATCTCTTGGGGTTGATGTAATTATATTTTTGTGACGAACCATGTACATATTGGATTCTTGTGTATTTGTGTGATTTACAAGTTTTTTTTTTTTTTGTATTTCATTAATCTTAGGTGTTCAAAATTCTTAACAGGGTGAACCAATGCGTTTTTATTTATAATACAACCTTGAAGTGTTAACCGCGTTATATTTAAATTTTATCCTGAAAGTAAATGTGTAAATTTAAAGTTGAAAAATGCTTTATATCCCCACTGGGGGTTGACCCCCAGTGAGGTGGAGGCCCATGATTGGGCGAAAAAAAACTATTTTTTTTTTTTTTTTTTTTTTTTTCGGTTGGCAGCCAGTGGGGGCGCCCCACCTCACTGGGGGTGCGACCCCCACTGGGGGTATAAGGCACGGCTGTTTAAAGTTAATGCAATGTGAGTCACAACCATAACGATTGAAGACTATTTATTTTTTTATCTAGCTAATTTTTTGGTGTCGGTATATATATAGGGTTGGATTTCCCTCCAGTCTGTGATCGGATTAGAGGGTATTTTTGGGTCCGTGGATACCTATCACGGGTCCCGTTTCGATAATCCGAACCGTTTAATGTGTAGAACTCGTCGAGTATTATATGCTTGTAAAAAATCTCGTTGATCAGATATCGATAGCTATCTCATTGGGTCAGATTTCTGTCAACTGTTTATTTTTTCGCTATCCATTTTTTTTTATATACAAAACTGATTTGATCATGTAACTATCGATATCCGATCAACGTAATTTTTTATAAGCATATAATACTCGACGAGTTATACATATTGAATGGTTCAGATTATCGAAATGGGACCCGTGGTGAATTCCCATAAGTCCAACAGTACTCTCTAGTCTAATCACAGACCGGAGGGAAACTAGCCCCATATTTATATATATATTGTTAGGTTTTATTCTTGGCAACCCCGTTTGACAAAACTCCTTTCAATTGTATTTATTTTTCTCACTTTTATTTCAGTGAGTCTATGAGTGTTTAGATGCGAATCCAACCCGAATTGTGCCTTTCAGAGAAGTTTGTGATGCTAATGCTTTCAAGATTGCCACTTCGCTGATTATGATGGGGATCGAGCTGCCCGGTCAGCTCGCGGGGATCCAGGGGGCAGCGCCCCTTGGCGGGTCCGGGGTAGCGCCATGGCGGGGTCGAGGGGCAGCGCCCTCGAAGCAAAATGCAAAAATGCATTCAAAATTGCCTGTCCGCTCGAGCGAACATACCAGCGCTCAAGCGGAGAATCCCTGGTTCCAGCAGTTTTGGTCGCCTGCAAAAGTACTAAGATGTGTGATTTCGCGCTCGAGCGGGTTCTATAGCGCTCGAGCGGACCTCTGTTATATCACGTGCATATTTTTCTGAAGACGCTCGAGCGGGCTGTTGGGCGCTCGAGCGGAGATCGCAGGACAGATTCTATAAATTCGCGTGTTGGGTCAGATTTTAGGATTACTACTCCAGATCTTCTTTTTTGGTTTTAGGGTTTATATCTAGTCGAGCGGACCTCTGTTATATCACGTGCATATTTTTCTGAAGACGCTCAAGCGGGCTATTGGGCGCTCGAGCGGAGATCGCAGGACAGATTCTATAAATTCGCGTGTTGGGTCAGATTTTAGGATTACTATTCCAGATCTTCTTTTTTGGTTTTAGGGTTTATATCTAGGGATACTTTGTGAGTTTTCTTTGATATTTTTATTGAGTATTCAACTCATGATTTAAAGAGAGTACATCAAAGGTTGTGTTTTGTTCTACAAAAGAGAGAGTTGTTCTTCGGTGGATTCTGAAGAATTCGAGCCTGAAGCTTTGGTGGATTCCGGAGTGGCTCATCGTAAAGACAATTCCGAGGTGAAGACGGGGTTGCAAGAGGCACATAGAGGTTGGTTCAATTAGGCGTGGATTCGCTAGGTAATTGAGAGTATACCTGTGTAATTCCTTTAAATCTTCTTAGTGGATTGTTTTGTGGCTGTTGCCCGTGGTTTTTTTATCACAGTTGGAGGTGTCCAATTGTGATTTTTTCCACGTAAAATCGTTGTGTCTCTTTGTCTTGATTGTTTGATTGGGATTGTTATATTCTGCTTAAAATTGATACATAATCACAAATCAACATTTAAGAAATTTCTAGATTTTTCATATATATATAATGTATATATATTTGAATATTGCTGTGGTTGTTGCATTATATTGCTTTGTAATCCAATTGATTGTGTTTTCGGGATTTTTTTTTAATTATTTTTTATCAAATTTTTGCCTTTAGAAATAAAATTAATAAAACTTTGAAAACACGTTGTAATAGGCCAAAACTTAATATCATTATTGTGCATAAATTTCTATATATATATTGTATTGGAAAATGTTTAAGACCCCTAATAAAACTTTTATAATTTCACCCACAAAAATATGAAATGATGGATGTTAACTTTTGATTTGTCACATATTCAATTATGTGGGGCTTTACTTTCTTACCACATCTTTGAAGGTGTATTTGGAGGTTTCAAATGTGGCTCTCTAACATTACTCATATTCTATTTGTGTAGCAATATTCTTGTTTTTACAAAAATAAAAAATAAAAAATTACATAATCAGAATTATGTGACAATTACATTTTAAAAAATTTTAAGCTCATTTAATTATTTTTTTTATTATTTAAGAAATGATATAATGAACATGATTGTCCCCACTTTCTTTTTCTTTTCATCAACTAAAAAGAACAACTTTATTGATAAAAATTACAGATGCAAAATTTTATAATACATCAATAAAAAGAAGGAAGTACAAAAATATCACAGTATAATAGCTCAATCCTAATTAAATTAGCATCGAAGTGAACACTTTATCA